CTCAACTGAAATATCATGTTGCAGTAGCATTGCTATAATTATTGTAACTCAGGTTTTTCAAATTTTACAGGGGGTGGGGAAATGATCTTTCACCACTATATTCAGCAACAATACCTGGAATTTCAAGTTAAAGTGTATGTTCACAAAATAATCGCACGATTTGTCCACGTGCCGCTTCTAAGTGCTTTATGTTTTTTTTTAAATGATGTTTACTGTACCCTTAGTTACGAAGCTTGAGCTGCTACCCCGCAATATCAAACTCCAAACACCCTTCGATTAGTGTGCAACAAAGAATAAAACACATCAGACTCGAGGACACAAGAATGCATGCCGTCATTGTCTGGTTTCTCAGACACCTTGCCAACTTGTTCTTCGCAAACAGCCCCCGGCCATTGAACTAAGCTATGTCCGGTCTTAGCAAATTGTTTTTGTTGTTGTTTTCTTTTTTGTTTTGTTTTTGTTTTGTTTTGGGGTTGTTTTTTTTACACAGTGAGAAAAGAACGCCATCAAAGTTGATTTCAGCTTCCCTTTAAAGTGATAATAGAGTTTACAAATATTTACACGTACTTTTTCCTGCCAAACACGAATTCTTTATTCACATTGGCGGACGTCACCTCTCTTTCAACATTCCTTTCATGTCTGGGCCTTCTTGAGGATGAGAGTTTTTTTTGCACAGACTGACAAAGAAGTTAATCCTCCACTATCGAAAGATGAGGAACAAAAAATAAAACGACAGTGTTTTTATTTAAATGCGGGAAGGACAAGAAATGTTGAGACAAAGGCTGGCATACCATTACAATGTTAAAGAAGGACTGGAAATTTCTTGCCGTGATGTTATGTGAGTAACTGCAAAAAGTTGACTTTTCACCTAGTGGCAAAAAATGAAAACCAGTAAGCCAGCTTCTAATAAATCTAGTTGACTGTTAAATGAATCGCTTGGAGTATTTTATGCCTTACTTTAGTTAGACTTATTGCAAATAATTGAAACCGCTAGCAACATAATGTAGAGCATTTGGGGGGGCGGGTAGCTTTGACACTGTTAGAAGCGTTAATGGTTGAATATGGTACAGCATCTCGGCAGAAAGCCAGGAGTTCTGCATAGAATAGCATAAACTGTTGGGAATTGAACTCAAATCTCCTGCATGATACAACGAAGAACTTAAGCACCATACCAAAGACACCAACGTTTAATGAACGGGCAATGTCTGTGGTGTAGTGGTTTATGTGTTTCTTCGTCATCCACTGAAGACTGGAGCTCAATCCTCGCGTGTGTAGACTTTTCATTGAGTACCTCGGTGTTTCTCCTCTTACTTTCTATCCCTCTCAGGCTAGATTGGTCCTGACAGGGAGGAACGAAGCCAGCCACCTTTATATTCTAAATTGTGTTGATGGGGCGTATATATTTTTTTTTTAAAAATATATAACATGTGTGTGTTTGTGTGTTTGTGTGTGTATGTGTGCATATATATATAATTCAACGGGCGTTCAGAATTTGGGTTGCTTTGGAGAATTTTTGAGACTCTCTGTTCGTTTGATTTGGTTCTATTAGAGATGGACGATTAACTCAGATGTCTCGCCTCTTAAATAACCATATCATAGTGTTGAAAAGGGATGTTGAACCTGTACAAAGATCGAGAGGACAATGGCGGCTGTAGAGTGTTCACGAATGTTTTTACGGTTTCAAGTTCCACACATTGGGTTTGATAGATGGCATCTGGATATTAGTGGGGATGTCATACCTGTACATGTGAATACACCTGTGTAAGCCTTCATATGTCTAACATATAAATGAATAAATCTGTATATTAATGCTTGCATATCGTCGGCACGCTTTTCAAATAGTTAGAAGAGAGAAAGAACTTCTTTATTCTTTAAAAAAGTGTGCCTACATGGTTTTTTTCTTCAACATTTAGAATCTGAAATTCGACGAGATAGCATTTCTCGAGCTCATGCAAGCCATACCACAGATAAAGAAAATGGAAGAAAAAAAAGAATCTTCTTTTTTACATTTCAGTAGACCGACGGTTTCGACAATATAATCTAAGCATCGTTATTTAATTGTATATTTTCCCATGTTTGCTTACATCCCTGTAAGTAAAACAGAACATCTATCGTAAACCCCTCAAGGTGGCTACAAAACATAGTGTGATTTACGAATACCGTTTTTATCACATCATTCTCTTTCCTCTCTCCACCCTCAGACACCCTTTCCCACTATCCTCTTCCTCTTTCTTTTTTCCATTCTTACAGTTTATTATGTTCTATTTGAACTCAGCCCGATGGTATTTGTCTACAGGTTTATGTTGTACGCCCAGATCATTGAAGTATTTTCTCACTTTTTTCATCTGCTTAAAGTAAAGGTGGGTGGTCTTGTTCTCGTACACTGTTACTGTTTTTTATCAATTATTTCTCTCCCGCACTTGTCCTTATCTTTCTCTGAGCGTGGTATTTTCTGTTTGTGTCGAAAGAGGAATTTAGCGTATTTTATTTCCACCTGAAGCGCTATCCCAAAATGATTCTTAGAAGTTCAGTAATACTTTTTATTGGTCAATGCACCCCCTCCCCCTAAAAAAACAACAACCAAAATTACAAAAAACTTACCATCCGAACCACCCACCCAGGTACAAGAAGTACCGGTAGGCAAGGAGCTTACCGGTAGGCCATACAAACTTTCATCCATCCTAGTGAGGTTCAATAGCAACACCTTACTTACTCACTCCCCCCTGCTGGTGCATATCGGCCTTGCTTTCTCCTAACACGGAATGACCTTTCGATTTGATTTGCTGTATTCAAACTTAAATACACCTTTACACTTAGTAACAGCTATCCAGCTGAGTTTTTAATTCTCAAGAGGTGGATTTGGCTTTCTCTTTGTTGAATGTTTTATATAAATATCTCAAAACAAACAAACATTTCCTACATTCATGTGGTAAACTCACAGACCACCCAGCCCCCTTTCAATGGGTGGTAGAAAGAGTAGGGGTCTAAGACCCTTGTTTTCGTTGTGTTTCGAGGTACTGCTTTTCGACCATCGTTGAAATATCCACATGGTGACCTTCTTTTTCTTTGGTTGTTCGTCGAGCTCTTATAGATTTTGTTACGGGTTTGTTGCGTTTCTTCTTCTTTTCTTCTTTTTCCATCTGTTTATTTCTTTTGACGTTTATTACTGAGATCTTTATTCATCTTTAATCTCTTTGCTCTCAGTTCTTAATAGTTTTGTTTTGATAAAGGCTAGTGGTTCTCTTTTGCCATTTTCCTGCATTAAGCGCGATGCCAGACATTTCATACTAAGGTCAGTTTAATGATTTCCTCGGGGGATTTTGTCAACTTACCAACTCTCGTGTAATAGGGATCAAATCAGGAAGAAGAAGAACAGATATTGACGAACAACAACCACACCTCCCCTCTTTTCGTTCGTACCCCATCCCCTTATTCACGTCCCATTAATTTTCAAACCTCTACACCTGAACAGAAAACAACAAGACACGCCCCAATCAAAACGTTGGAGGTAAACGTAATTTTTTTTAAAAAGGAAAGGGGATAATACAAAAGAGCCAGAGGTGGGGAAATAATAAGGTGTTCATCCCAAAGGTCTTCACGATTCATGTTTGTTGACTGATTTTTTGTGTTCCCTGCAGTCACTCGTGAGCCCAATCAATGGACGGGACAGAGAAAGATAGGATCAAAACTGATGGCCAACTAGTTGGAAATGTCGTGACAGATTTCCTTGTCAGAAAAGTTATGTTTATGTTTACACATTTAAAGGTGAATGACTGGAGGTTGCAGCTGGTAATTAATTTGCCTTCTTCTTCTTCTTCTTCTTCTTCTTCTTCTTCTTCTTCTTCTTCTTCTTCTCTCTCTCTCTCTCTCTTTCTCTGTCTCTCTCTGTTGTTTCTGTTAATTGGCTTTTTTGTTCTCCCCTTGCTGTAAAGGACAGCCTTTAGGAGTACGAGCTTCTGTCTACTCAAAACTAGAATGATTCTTTCAAATAATTTTTTAAAAGATTCAACCGCGTTTAAGTAGGCTGTATACACAAACTGGAGGGTGATCTCTCAATGCTGGCTGTAGTTCATTAATGTGTTCTTCAATCATTATCAGGCACGTTGAAGTTAGCCAAACTCTACATGCGGGTGACAAAAATGACCCATCATGTCCTTTGACTGATACTTACAAGAGACAGTGTTCAATAAGTGACATTTTCTCTCAGAACCATAGACTCAACAATCTCAAAAGAAACATAAAGTAATTTTTTCCCCAAATGTCCGTCTATGTTATCTTTTTTAACCCCCCCCCCCTCCCCTCTATCTTTTAAAAAAAAGGCAGACTTAAGAATAATAAGGCATCATCCAATAACAAAACATCAGTAAAAATCCACCTAAATGAAATACAGTTGTTACAGTTGTCTCTCAACACCATACTTGTGGCAAATAAATCAAATATAACATCAATATAAGAGCAGTCTCGAAAGCTAAACCATAACATTGTTTCGTAATGAGTAGAGATGAGATATATTTACACACTCCTCTGGAGACCTGTCGTTTTAGTTCTAGTGTTTTGGGATTTTTTCTTTATATGTGTTTTGGGTTTTTTCTCCGGGGCATTGTCCCCTGAGTATTCGACAATGGAATGTCCTGGGATTGATACTTGACGCTTCTATTGTATACTCAGTAAAATTGGCGTTATGGTGTAGAGGTAGGCGCTTCGCCAACGCACGACGGAGACCAGAGTTTGATTCCCGAATGGGGAGGACTTTTATCGAGACCCGGCATCTGTCTACTGGGAAGTTGTATCCCTTTCAGACTGGAGACTGGGTGGGTCCTGACTGGTAGAGTCAGAGCCCGCATCCTAAATGTCTAAGTTGTGTCGATGGGTACGTAAAATCATCTGCAAATAATATCGTACTTATTTAGAGGTCAGACGTATCTTTTCTTAGCACTTCTTTAAGGCGCGGAACAGTGAGGAGAAGCATAGGATAAAAATGATGTCCAAATAGTTTTAAATTTTGTTTTTATTTTTATGAAGATGAATTATACATTGGCATGTTGTTTTGTGGTCTGCTACAGCTTTTGTAAAGCACGGACCAGATCGAGCGAATTTTGAAAATGTTGGCCGTGACAAATTTTTCAGGACATGTAAGAGTGAGATCATGTTTGCTTTCACACGTTCAGGGTGTAACAGTGTTGTAGTGGACAAAATAGTAATCAGTAGCTGCGTTATAACCATATTAAAGGTTTTTTAAAAATACAATACCTTGATCATAAGACACGCAACCAAGCTATTATGAAGGGAATATTCCAATGCAAGATGTCAGGGAAAAGAAACAACACACAATGTGGTTCGATAACGTCAAGGCACCGACTGGCCTTTACTATGACAAAATACACGACAGCAGGCAGCGATCGCAGTTAGTAATAACGGGCCATAGCGTGTCAACCTCTGAGTCAGACATGACACCTCCAGGTATCAACAAAACCATATTGTAATAACGTATTTTTCACACATGGGGTCCACACCGTTTGAAATGTCGGTTATTACCAAAAACTAGACTCGGAACATTCCAGTTATGCATCGGCCTATTTAGTTCTGAAATCTTTATTTGAAGTGAGTTTAGAGGGCTTCATTTGGACGGCTTTGTACAATTGATAGATTTATGCGTCAAAATTCAAAACTGTGTCTTTGATTTAATTTTGTTCAAACTTTATTCACCTTCAGTCTTTGCTTTCTTATGTTTTTGTAACGTCTGGACAGAGGCAACACTAACATTTCGAAAGTTGACTACTGTAGAACACTTTAGACCCGTGTTATGGCTTGTTGAAAAAAAATAAACTTGACATCCAAAAGTAAAAGTTTTGATTCACAACAACAACACAAAAACAAGCAAAAGTGTTTAAGAGAAATGATTATCTTTTTCAGCATCCTCATCATTTTCTAAACATCTCATCTCTTTCTGGAAAAATGAATAAATAATTCAGAAAAAAAGCATCGACTATAGAAAACATGATGCACATTAAGTGAAAACGTACATGCCGGAGGAAGGCACAGGTAATCCCAGAATGATAAAACTCCTTTCATAAACAGAAAACAACTTTTTAAAACATATTATCGTTAAAGTGCATGCAACAAGTCACGTTCAAAGCTACTCACTTTCACTTGCTATTTCCACCACACGCTTCCGTGATATCCAAATCAATGAATCTTGGAGGTGCGAGCTAATCTAGCTGTGGGAGTCCTCCAGTTCGTCACGAATGACAGGGAAAAGAACGAGTGAGGTGAAACTAGACTGAGGGGAGAAGTAGGAGGAAGGGGAAGAGGAAGGGGAGGAGGAGGCGGAGGTGACGTTGAGGTTTGACGTTTCTGTGGAGTGATATGAAAAAATATATAACGTCAATTTTGTTTACTCGAAAAATTCTGATACCTTTTTAACAAAAGGGATGAGATCGGGTGTAGAGTGCTTTGAGAAGACATACTATTACTTCTTACCCTGTTTACATATGAGTTGTGCGTATGTGTGTGTGTGTGTGTGTGTGTGTGT